CGCCTGTCTAGTCTTCCGACCACTCAAAGCGCTTTTACACTACGTGCCACATTCACCCTTTCACACACATTCACTCAGTGATGGCAAAGTCCATCAAACAGAAACTAACTCATTCATACACATTCAACAGAATGACAACAGAAGTCCTTAATTTAAAGCACAATTTGGCCCAAAAAAATCAGACGCTCAATAAAAGTATTCCATTAGCCTTAATTAGAATAAAGTCAGTGACTGCTGCTAAGATCCAGTTGTGTCAGTGTTAACCCTGTGCGACCAGGAAATCTGTGCACACGCACACACACACACACACACACACAAGAGTTGCATTCATGTGTACCAGAAGCTAAATCAAAAAAAGCTTGCTAGTGGAGCACAGCAGGGAGGGGTTTTTCTGTGCCATATTTTGAGGATGATCAAGAATTCTGCAGCGCTGTCAAAACATGTCAAATTAGTCTGAGGGAGAGCAGCATGTTAATTCACCAGAAGAATGAAAAAAAACTGTCTCTGAAAGTTGGCCTGTTTCTCCACCTGTGTGCCCTAGGCCATCCTTCCATGTATGTGGGTCATTGACTCTTGACAGTCACACACCTTTCAGCTGAGACAGTTTGGCTCGAGGAGGCGCCACGGCATAGACAGTACAACACGTGGCTTCATCTGTCACGGTGAAGGCTTGCTATGCTTTAATTGTGCTCTCTTTGGACTTTTGCTGTTGTCCGTGACTGCCTCTCCAAGCAGTCTCCTGAAAATGTCTCCTTTCATTTCAAAAAGGGTTTGACTGTTTCCCTGTTTTGTCTTTCTCAAGGGTTTTTGTCTGTTGCTATCTCTTCCCTCCTCTTTACAACATATTATATCATGCTGTCTTTCAAAAGGACAGTTAACAGTCACTGACTTTGCTTTCACATTGTAAGGTCAACTTAACATTTTTAATTAGATGAACTTAAAGGCATGCTGCATGTCATCGCCTCTCTAAACATTTTAAGTTAGTTCCATTTAAAAGCATTTTATGCAAATTAAATTTATAGACATTTAAGCTACATCAAACTTGATTTTTTTTTTAGATAGTTTAACTTTTTTTTCAAATTAAAACATTTTAAGTAGTTCTAAAAACATTTTAAAGCTTGGTCAACATACGGCTGTTTGTGACATTGACTAAAGTAAAAAGAAAAGATAAAAGAAAGTGTATCGTCAGTTTTGCTTTCCAGTTCCTTTCTTTAACTTTTTAAAACTTTTTCATTTTAATTTTTTTGACTTTGTTGACTCATCTTAAGTTCTAGTTATTATGTTTAGACCCATTTCAGAACTTAAAAATCATGGGTTCTTGTGACATGAGATGATGAGCGATTGAACAGCCTAGAAATCAGGCCATAAATTAACATAGTAATTGTACAAGGGTTGAAACTCTCAGCTTTCATCTCAAGTCACAAGAAAACATGATTATAGGTTCTGAAATGGGTCTAAAAATGATATCTAGAACTTGGCTACTTGACTTGAAATTCAAACACATAATCACTGACAGCTGGTATCGAATGTCTGGTCAGATTCATAATCTTAGAATCTAGTTATTCTTGCCAATTTTATACCAAAAAATTGAAACAAAAAACTTTATTGAGAGGCTGGCTGCCTGAGGTAAAAGAACATTTAACTTTGTTGTGGGATTGTAAAGAATACCCAGCCTTATACTGCAGCACTGTCAAGTGAGTCTTTCACGGTTAATGGTACCAGTAATTGGGGGAGAGTGTGTACTTTTTGCTACTTCTACTTCCACTCACAATCAAACATGAATAGCAACTACATGTTAAGCTAATTGGCTTGGTTTTCTGCAGTGTCTTTGTAGATTAAGAGGCATTCTCACTGGGTGTAAGTGGCCAAAGAGTATTAATCTTAATCAAGGGTGAATTCAACTTTGTACGATTCCACATATCACCCAAACTAATGTGTCAAGACAGGCTGAAAGCGGGGCTGCAAATCAACTCAACCCTTTCAGTGTTTACAGTTGATGTGGTGATTTTTCACTGGCCTTTACTTTCCCCTCTGCAACTCTCTGCTTGATAACATCCTCCAGCCTCCAGAATGCTCGTTACTGCTGCAGCACCAGCTTCACTTGGCCTAGATATGTCAGCCGAAAAAACATCTTCCACCAGCTGGTGTCATTCGTATGCAGGACAAATTATTACAAAGCTCGCAGAGACACTGTGAGAGGGAGACAGGGAGACGGGGAGCCAGAGACAGGAAACTAATGATGGAGGAGGAACGGATTCCACCGCTGTAGAGTGAATTTCCTGCAGTGCTTCATGACCAAGGAGCCACAGAGTGAGAATACACACAAACACCAGTAAAGAAAGCCACTGTTGACAGTCCACATCCCTCCACCACAGGACAGCTCCTCTGTGCTTGGCTGCTCTTTGTTGTACTGCACATACACTCACGCAGGGATGAGGAAAAGAAGCATTACAACACAGAAGCTGCAATAGAACACACAGGGAATACCAACTCAGAGGGGAGGAAAGAGGCCAGTGTAGTGATTGCGTAAGTAAGACACCATGTACACAATTTGGAGAATGAAAGAGGTACTGGCCAATGGACAACACTAACTTTTTGGATTTCACTAAGCCCTAAACTCCTTTCCGTCTCTGCAGCATAGTTAAAATACCAAACCAAGGGTTCTGTAAGCTCCTAAACTCAAGTTTATACCTTTTCTGACTTTCAACTCAGCGATTGGTTTCTGGTCCATTTAATTAGCAGACTCTCACACTGTGCTTTAAGTCTTGTTGCGTGGTAATGCAATTCAAGGGCAGATGACTTCAAAACTCTGAAACCTGCATTACCCTGTAAAGGAAACAAAGGTAGTATGGCTTCCATTTCCCTGTTATAGATTAAGATAGTATACTTTATCCTACCTTAAAGGCAGCCAGTGGTTTACATGTCCTTGTTACAAAAACACAAAGGTAATAATACTTTTTTTCTACTGTACCTCCAAGGCAGCCATTGATTTCCATTACTTTGTGACAAAAATGTCAATTTAATTTTCCCCACCTTTATGGCAGCCATTGGTTTCCATGTCCTTGATTCAAAACAATAAGGTAGTGTACTTTTGTCTACTGTATCTTTAAGGCAGCCATTGACTTCCATTACCTTCTAATGGAAATTAAGGCAGTATGTTTACTTACCTTCAAGGCAGCCATTCCATTAATTCTCCAATACCAAAAACCTTAATTACCTCACCATTGAAATTAAGGACGTACAATTTTTCCTACCATTGTACTCTATTACTTTATAATGGAAATGAAGGCACAGCACCACTGGTAGTTCCAGAGACAAAAATACTGCACCAACCAACAGTGTGGTGCAAGACCCTAGTTTTTCCACTGTAATGTGAATATCTTACCTAAATGCTAACATCAGGATGCTAACATGCTCACAATTGTTTTAAAGGTAAGAAGGAGTAAAGAAAGACAGAATAACAAGAACTCAGAAAAATGTTACGTGACGTTTTATGATTTTCTTAAATTAGTTCTGAAAACTGTTACAAAAACAAAATCTAGGGACAAACGGAAAGACAAAAAAAATTGCTTCTCCCGGAATCCCTTCTCCATTTTACATTTCATATGGGTGATGTCGTAGCCAAAGGCCACAAGTCTTTTACCTCTGACCTTCTCATCCATCAGCAGTCTGTATACAAGGCACCCGGACAGAAATGGGGCTCTTCTTGTTCCTCATAGGCTCTCGCTTCATGAGATGATAAAAAGTGTTAACTATAGAGGGACAAAGACAAGCGTTTACAGTACGTACAAACACACACTCTGATGTGTTTTTATTTCTTACAGTTTCTCAGACACACACACACGCAAACACAGTTACTTAGTCACAGACCAAAGGACTGCACTGTACAAGAACTTAACAAATTTTGCTGGTCAAGGACATTTATATTTATAATGCAGACCTTTCTCTGGAATCTCACACACAAGCACACACACATTCACACACGCACGCACACGCACACAGGCCAGCGGTCCTGTCCTGGTGATAGGAATATTCCAGTAGGGGCTCTTTACAGTGCACCAGGTCCCAAACTGCTATAATGCCAACCCAGCCCCTGCTACTCCTTCCAGTTCTGATGGCACCCCTGGGACCTGGTTTTGGTGGGATCCATTAAGTCTGATATGGTCTGATCTGGACTGAGATAATTCAGGTTAGACTGAAATCCACTTCAGGTCAGGTCAGACCAGCTCCTCTCTTCTTCATCCCCCTCATCTGGTTCTGCGGTCCGTCTGTCTCCTCAGTGCTCTGAAAACACAACAAGCTTCAGTTCAACACAAAACTAAACAATATGGCACATTTTAAAGGTTTCTGTAGTCATTCTGTTGTTGGAGGTGATTCTACGTGTCTGCTACGGAACAGCATGTGGTTAGCCTAGCTTAGCATAAAGACTGGAAGCCGGGGGAAACAGCTGGCTGGCTCTGTCGAGAAGTAGACAAGCTCTGTGTGAGCAACTCTTTACGTTTTGTGACATACATGTAATGAGTCGTGTATGTAATTCTATTCACTCTGTGAGCGAGTGGGCTGTAACCTATATTCAAACACGGACTACAAGATCAGTCAGCACTGTTTGTTCAAGATTTGAGCTCACAAACTGTTATCCTATATGCTTTCAAATCGTGATGTCCAAACTTCCGTGCACAAAATCCATCAGGAGGTCGGCTTTGACATTTTTAGTGGCAAAAGCATTCCCGGTGGAAAATTAATTAAAAATTAATTTAATATATTAATTTATGCCCCTGAACCCCCCTATTAGGGTTCAGACTCATGACCTCACTATTTCTAAAAGCTTGGCAAACACAAATGTACAGATGTCAATCTGCAATTTTACTTTGAGTTATTATGAGCTGAAACTATTATATATTAGATAAGAATGGTTTATCCATCCACCTAGTACTTATTTTACAGCGTGGGTTGCCAGATTTGGTTGGGGAGGACAGGTTCAGGATGAGCAACCTTTCTGGGACAACGAACAGTGTTGTAAAGGCTACTAGTTCAGGTAGAGCAACACTACACTTTTATTGAAAGTAGAAACGTACACAGCAAGCTCTTTGGAATAAGGAGCTCCATGAATTGAAAATGGACAGGATGAAACATGTAAATTGGTGAGCTGTTGGTAGGTGAATTTGTTTGACAGAGCCTAGCTAGCCGTTTCCCCCCCCCGCTCTCAGTCCGATATCCAGCTCTGTCCTTACCTATAAATATTCTAAATAGTTTTTCAATATAGATTTTGATCTAAATCAAAGGTTTAATGGAGTGTCATATGCTGTCCAGATAAAGCCCTCTCACTTGACAGTTTTTGTGAATTTAAGTTTTTTGGTCAGTTAAGGTTGCAGAGATTATGCTTTTATTCTGAAGGATCTGAACCAGAGGTGTTACGGTTGTTGCTCATTGTGGGACATAAGCAACATATTTTTTCAGATAACACAGTAATTTTTGTTTTCCCCCTTATGTATATCCCTTCTGGGTCTCTGTAGTTTGGACAGACTTTGCTGTCTGTCCACTGGTTCTCATGCTGTGTTCCAGAAAGTGTGTCAGAAAGTTGGAAATCTCCACTTACTATGAAAACTGTGACAGAACAACCCTTCAGGCCAATGTTCCAATTAAGAAACATCTCTAACAGAATTAATTAACATTTTCTCACATCCCTCTCACTTCTCTTTGCTGTCTGTATTTTACTATCTATAGAGGCAACTCCCACCACTGGCCCTTGGCGGCGGTGCTCCTCCTCTGCTGCGAGATGCTGTAGATCTCCTGCAGCTGTTTCTTCTGGTCGTCGCTGAGCGGAGCCGTCAAGCACTGGTACCAGGCAGCGTCAGTGTTCTGGACCCCTGACAAGCACACGTAGGGCCAAAGAGAATGGTTAGAGTGTGGAGGTGTTTTCATACAGCTGCAGTAGAGGTGAAGAGATTCATTTACCAAGCAAAAATACTTAACATACTAACCCTAACCCTAACCCCTAACCCCTTCTTAAATGTGAGGAAGTGCTGCTTTTCTGTTTTATATCATAGTTAACTGAAAGGGCTGTGCATGGGTAGAGAAAGGTATTCTTACATTAGGAGTTGTATACTGTGTGGAGATACTTAAGTGATTCTGTTACTTATAAACAACAGTGTGATTTAGCTAGACCAGGGGACAGGGGATTTCAGAGTCGGACACTGCAGGCAGCCCTTCAGACAAAATCGAAACAGCAGCGGCAGTGTAAATAAAACCTTTTCCGCAAGTGGGGCGTGTACTTTTGAATGGTGACTTACGGAGGAGGGCGGAGGTGAAGAAGCGATACTCGTCCTCCCCGTTGTCGTAGTCCAGGGGTGTGCTGTACTCCTCCAGCGGCGTTCCCTCAAAGCCCTCATCATCCCAGTAGTCGTCTTCGTCTTCGTCGTCGTCATCGCCGCCCTGCCCTGACGGCATGCTGGACTGCTCCTGCATGGCGTTGCGGTTCTCGTTAACTTCATCTTCATCACTGGGAATCTCCTCTGCCCATATGGAAAATAATAGACACATTAGGATCTAAGGTTTCACAGTGCCGATTCTCTCTGGCCACTTTTGAACATATACAGAGAGGGAAACTCTACCTGGACACACAGAACCACATGACACAGTTTTTCTTATAGATTCCAGGAGAAAACTCTATTTCAATAAGTGATTTTAAGAGCTAAAGGATATAAATTAAAATCTGACGTTGGTATCCTGAACTTTCTGCTCATTCGTGCTGAAAGTCCACTCATAAACGTATTACATAAATTATGAATTAGGTATCTACAGCAAAATTCACAATAAATTCACAAAAAACTTACGGAGTTGCTGTAGCGGGCCGGGTTCGAATCCGACCTGCAGCCCTTTGCTGCGTGTCATCCCCTCTCTCTCTACCCACCTTCCCTGTCTATCTACAGCTGTCACTGTCCAATAAAGCCAATAAAAGGCCAAAAAAATAACTTTAAAAAAAAAAAGGAAATGCATGTTCGTCAGTGAGTTCGACGTCGCTATCATTCATAAAAAATGCATCTACAAAGCGTACATTTTTTTAACAGCAGATCAGTTTGAAATATTGCAGGGAGTAATGGAACAAAGAGGAGTGTGTTAACAGTTGCACACCTCCATCATCTCAGCAAGGTAACTTGCTGAGATGGCTGAGATGACTGGCTACTTCACTCACTGTTCACAGACTCATGCCGTGTGCAGAATAAAATCAAATCATGGTTGCTCACAGAATGGAAAAATAACAATTACTGCCTGACTTTTTTATTAAAATGACAATAGCTGGTTTAGCTGCCCCTAAAATTATGTGACCTGCAGTATCAAACTGCATTGAACTACAGGTGTACAAATGCGTTAAACGGTTAAACTGTGTTTTGTCTTTTTGTCTTCCTGAGGTTAAAATAGTTTGTAGCAAAACATGGATGTAGAGTTGGTGGCAGCTTTCTGAAGGCATGTTTTTCAGCTTGATACACCACTTGCCACCGCCTTGGCAACATCTGGATATAGTTCATAGCTATAGATCACCACAGCTGATACTCACGGTACCAGTGTGAATATTACTTGCATAAACATTAAGCTATCAAACAATATATTGATGACGAATCATTCAATTGATACTTTGCTGCTTAGGCGATTTAAGCAGTTTAGAACTCGATCAAGCAGGCGGCGCAGTGGGCTTTAAGAGGTTTTATACATCCAAAGAACTTCTATAAAATCCAGACCAGGCCTCTATATGAGACCTTCTTTTATTATTTTAAACCTGTAGCCACACCAGGCTAGTAAAGGAGACCCTGCTTTTAAATTGAGTTTTACTTCGTATTCTTTATTTGTCACTGATGGTTCCTTTAGAGTTTAACTTCTTAATCCTAACTTTTTGTATGCATGAGTTATCTCTTTATTAGACCTTTCATTGTGAACTTATATGAGTTATAACAAATATGTAACAACACTGACTACACTACAGCTTGGAAATTCTGTTACTTGATATTCGCTCCATAACACAGTCCTTTTATATCCTTCCCTCATGACTGAAAGCACATTTCAAACCTGAACACATTCAACTTTCACTGGAAGAAAAAGTAAGCCTTTCTAATAAGTATACACCATTCCAAACCATTTAATGCGGTGAAATCAATGCATTTTAAACACCAGGCCGCAGGAGCAACCCTTAACCGTCACCGTAGCTAATTATCGTAGTTAATTTATCAGTCGGCCCCACAAGCAGTAGACAAGGTTTAGTAATCTAATTCCTTTATGCTAGACTGAAGCAAAGTAGAGCCGGTGGGGGTGAGAAAGTAAATGTGGTGCAGCTAATTTGGGCTCAGGGCTGAATCAAGATTCAAGTAGTGGAAGATCCGATGTTGGCAAAAACAAAATAGAGAATCGCATTTTATCATCATCACTAAGCCAATTTCTTTTCTCTTCTCTGCTGTCTTTTTGTCCTCATTCACTCCACATTAGTTCCTCACTTCTGTCCTTGTCCTGCGCCTCCCTGATCTTTTCTCACCGTTTTGGTCTTCATCCTGGGCCCCTGCGCGGGCCAGCAGGTCCGGCTTGTTGACAAGGCGGGAGGCGTAGAGGTGTTTGAGGCTCAGGAACAGGAGCAGGATGGAGGGGACGATCTGGGCGGCGACTCCCTCTAGCACTGCTGGCCGGCTGGGCAGCTCCATCAGCACACTCAGGCCGATGATACACATCTTACGGTCATGGAGCCTGGGGAGTGGACCAAAGAAACTCATGTCAGTGTGTTAAGTACAGAGTAGAATTCGGGATGTGGTTAGCCTAGCTTAGCATAAAGATTGGAAGCAGGGGAGGGGAACAGTTAGCTTGGCTCTGCCCTACATTCAAAACCCCCTCTACAGGTCACTAGTTAAATGGTAACTTCTGTATTTTTCACCCTGGACTTTATTTCCCATGTTTTTTTGTCTAAAAGCCTAATTGAGACAAGATTGTTTAAAATCAGTTCAGTTTTGAGCGAGAGGGCTGCAGCTGAGGAACTGTAATCCTTAAAGGGCAACTGTGCACCATCGTGAAAGTGCACTAACAGTGCTTGATTTTGCCACTGACAGGCTCAGATGGTGTCTAACAACCTCATGGATTTTTGTTTCATCAGAAACAGCTGTTATATCGCTCAATTAAAAGCCACCAGACATCATTGACAAAAAGAGTCTTTTTACCTCAAAGATCACCATAAGATTCAAACGACAGAAACTAAATGAAACTCAACAAAACCATCTTTCTTAGTCTTTACACTGTTCCAACAATCACCAACTATAGTTCGGCCAAGAAAAAAAAACTTTAATTCACCAAGTTAGATGTGAAAATATTCCAGCTGTTTCTCCTCTCTGATGGCCGACCACTCTCTCGCTCCACTGTAAGATTTCAGTATCTCCAGCTGTAGTGTGTGTTGCCAAATATGGTCAGTGCTCACAGCACTACTCTGGGAACTACCCTTGAAACCTGTTTTACAGTTCTGTTTGTGTAACATATTAATTAGACACTTCAGATGTGTTGGTAGATGTTGATCTTTGGTTGGAGCCAGGCTAGCTGTTTCCCTCTGCTTCCAGTCTTTATGCTAAGCTAGGATAACCATTTCCTGACTCTAGTCTTAGAATATAAATTTGTTCATTTTGTAAAACGTTGACTATTCCGTTAAACCTGAAAATCTAGGACAAGATTACAACTTTGTTGCGGTAATTACAGTATAGTTGAATGATCAGACTGCACGTGAACATAATGAATGTGTATTCTAAAAAGACCTTCTTGTTGGGAGGCAACAACAACCACCGATAGTGACCGTGCTCCAACTACACAGTAGCCTTAACATTGATAACGAATTAAATGTGTAATGTGCTTGCTGTAAGAACTTTGCGGACCTACAAAGCCTTTTTGCCTCTTTTAGCTCATTGTTTTGGATTATCCTTTTTGCGTGGTTCAGTCTCAGCTGTTATAGGGCATCTTATACGGTCACACAGGTGCCAAACAACCACAAATACCACAACCTGCGGACATCTACTCTGCAGTTCCTCTCTACTCTGTGTAGCCCTTTAGCCTCTGTTAGCTCCTTGTTTTGGTTTTCTGGTTACAAACAACAGGAGCCTCTCCCTCACCCCAGGAAGAACTCGGTGTCGTTCATCCACTGGTTGATGAAGTGGGCAGTGATGGGCTGTGGGTTGTGCTGGAAGTGCATGTTGTCCAGCGTGTGGATGAGCAGGGCTGGGTTGTAGTACAGAGCAGCAATGACCACCTGCAGGCACATGGTCCTCAGCTCGCTGGACTTCACCCCCCTCATCAAACGCTCCAGAACGGCCTCCACAAACAGTGGGATGCACTGCAGATAGGAAACAGAGCAATCAGCCTGCTGTTTCTCCTATGGTTAAAATTTTGGAGGGACAAACCATGGAGAAAACTTTTGATGTGCAACAGTCTCACTGACCTCCATCTTCATGTAACACAAAGCCAGGTTACAGATTTCAGAGTCTGATTCTAGTCACTGCAACTTTAGCCAAGTATAAAAGGTTTGTCTTTGCTTGCATTAAGAACGAATTAAAAAATTCAATTATGAGCAACAATGAGCTTGCCTCCATGTCATTTTGTTAGGATAAGTTTTCCAAGCAAAGTGACCTGCTGACTAATATTACTACTTATTATTTGATATCAAAAGTAATTAGTTGTTACATTACTATATTCCTTAAGCTGAATAGAATACTTAAAACTTAACAAATGCGTTTTACCTTTTTCCCAAAATAGACTACTCGAGATGGTAAGAAATTGCTGGCTGCTGAAAGGCTGACACTAAACTGTATTAATGGCTGTAAAAGTTAAATAATATTAATAATCTTTAAAAGGTGACAGATTTTAAGGTTTATTAATAAGCTATCGCTTTACTATATTGATGGCTTTAATTTGTATGAAGTAAGTGAAAGATCATTTTAGTTGGAAAAGTAGAAAAGAGTTATTGTGAATGGGACTGAAAAGTTGAATACATCACATAAGGTTTGAATGTAGTTTTCAACCGAATGATTAGAGATAAGTTGTAGAAATAAGTTTGAATACCTGGAAAAGTGGTAGAGGGATTAAGAATGTAAACCGTAGTGTAATCTCAGAGTTACATTGCATTGCTTTACATATGACTATGAGCTAAGATGAACAGCTGGGTTTAATATGTATAAGATGAATGACTATTCTAGTTGGAAAAGTGAGAAGTCTAGTTACTATGAATGGGAGTGAACAGTTGAATAAATGTCATAATGTATTCAAGATGTGGAACATTATATGTTTAAATTGAGTTTAAAGCTTCACAAATACTTGAAAATGTGTTGCTGTGTGTGTCTGCCTGCCTTGCTGTCTGCTGCTGTTAATTAGCTCGTCTATCAGCTGTGCGCTCCCAACTCTAATTAAAGGTTGCCATGGTGATCTGCTTTGACTCCTGGCTCAGATATTCCATTTCAGAGGTTTTAGCTGAGGTGCACCTCTCATGATTCTGCTCCTAGCTCCTAGACCATAACTCCTATCACCTAAATGGGGATATTTAGAGAAATAAGAAAACCTGCTGAGCACAGTGTGTGAGAGTTTTGTGGTATAGGATCAAAAATGTGACCACAACAGCAGTCCAGTCAGGAGAAGAAGCCGTTTCTGCTTCACCACTGAAATTTCTGCTCTCAGCTTCTCAACATGGGAATAAATGCGGCAGTGGGTTGGCACTCCTGTTTTTTGTGTGTGATTGTATAAAAAGTATGAAAGATATGAAAAAGCTGAATTAATGTGAGAAAGTGCCATTTGTCATGAAGGTTTGAATGAAGTTTCTACGATGAAAAACGTGGAAGGATATACAGTCAAGCCCGAAATTATTCATACCCCTGGGATATTTTGACTTAAAGTTACTTTTATTCAACCAGCAAGTTTTTTCTTGATTGGAAATGACACAGGCGTCTCCCAGAAGATAAGACGATGTACAAGAGGCATCATTGTGGAAAAAAGTATTTCTCAGCTTTTTACATTTGAATAAAAGTGGCATGTCCAAAATTATTCATATCCTTCTCAATAATCAATAGAAAAGCCTTTATTGGCTATTACAGCAATCACATTGCTTCCTATATTGCTGACCAGCTTTTTGCATGTCTCCACTGGTATTTTTGTCCATTCATCTTTAGTGATGAGCGTAAACACTTTCAGGTTGGAGGGTCTCCTTGACATCAACCTGATCGTTAGCTTCCTCCACAGAATCTCAATTGGATTGGAGAAGTCAGGACTCTGGCTGGGCCACTGCAAAACATTAATGTTTTTGTCCACTAACCATTTCTTCACCACTTTTGCTTGTTGCCTGGGTGTTTGGACTGCTTCTGCTTGAGACGGTTGCCACCAGCAGAGCCCGAGATTCACCAGGGATGGGCCCGTTGGTGGTGGATCGCTTGGGATTCTTTTTCACTTCTGTCCACTATCCTCGCTGGCCAGACAGGGGTCAGCTTTTGGCTTCCGACCACGCTGCCTCTGAGTTCCTCCCAACAGTGCGGAAACGTCTCGTATTTGTTGAAATAATTTACTTATGCGGACTGTAGCCACTAGAAGCTTTGAAAAACATTTAGCATATGGCCTTACTAGCCCTTTCCTGACTTGTGACGTTTTCCTTTATGCTGTCATCTCTTCTATATGTGTCTCTCCCCTTATGTGTGTAGTTCTTTGTTTTGAGGCCTATGACTGTCTTCTATATCTCTATTTAACTCAGTTATTTTCTTTCTGTTTTCCTGAGTGATTAAAAACAGCTTTTCCCAATGAATCAGCGGTTTTATTTTTTTTAGTATACTTTGAGAACAGCATGTGACTATTTGAATATATTTTATATATATAGGACTAGTGACAGTTTGCAAGGTATGAATGAATTGTTGGGACATGGCCCTTATTTATTTATGTTTTTCTATTATTATGCCTCTTGTACATCGTTTTATTTTTTGGGAGAAGCCTGGATGTCATTTGCCATCAAAAACCAGAACTTTTTTGTTGTTCTTTTCTGCGTGGTTGAATAAAGTAACTTTAAGTAAAGTTGCAGGGTATGTATAATTTCTGGTTTTTTTTTTTTTTTATTTTTTTTTTATTTTTTTTTGCATCGAAGACAAGAAATCTGTATATTGAAAGGCAGGATTATTCGTTCAATGGATAAACAGTCTCTGGTTTGTTTTTGTTTTGTTTATTTTATTTTTGTTTTTTTGCAGATTTGTTGATTATTCTTTTTTGTTTCGCATTATTGATTCTTTTATTTGTTCTTTGATAGATTTTTTTATTTTTGTTATTCTGTTTTTTTTTTTTTTTATTAGGTTTTATTCTCTATTTTTATTGTCCTTTTTGTTTTTGTGGTGAGTGGATCGGGGTGGTGGAGGCGCGAGAGAGTCAGAGTGTGGGGAGTGTGTGGTGGTGTGCGGGGGGGGGGTGGTGGTAGGGTGCGTGGATGGCGTGGAGAGATTGTAGGGTGGCGTGGGGTGGTGGCGGTGGGCGCGTGTGTGTGTGGTGTTGGGGGTGAGAGTGGAGAGGCGGTGCGGTGGAGTGATGGGGTGGAGTGTGAGAGTGCTAAGTATGATAGCTGTTTGTATGGTGAGATCCGGATGTGCTGTGTGGGGTGGCGCGGTTGGTTATCTTGTGTGTGGTGCCTCAAAGAGATAGTTGCTCTGTGTATAAGAGCGTGAGAGGAAAGCCCTGTCATGTGTGGTAGTTGAGTTGGGAGATGGTGGGTGTGTAGTGTGGGAAGGGAGCGAGCGGATCAGATAAGCATACCAGCAGGTGATCTTGTCTGTTCGGTCACAAATACGAGATGTGAGATGAGAACCAGAGGAAAAATAGAACGACAGGAAGTGTGCTTGGAACTTTTACACGCAGGAGCATGGAGATCTGGCGGGTAGCGTCGGTATTCTATAGAAAGCGTTAGGATTGTGGAGGCGGGATTGGTATATGGAATCAGAGCATTGATGGATTGTCAAAGTATGCGAGATTTTGTTTTTTGAATGCATAATATAAATTCACCGTATGCGTGAGAAACACAACAAGTAGTTTTAGTCAGCCAGTAATCATCTACTACCCTGGCGCAAATTTTGATTAATAAGCGTGACTGTTATTCAATCCGGCGAGAGTTGTGCGGTGCTGTTGCACTGGATGAGATGGCACAGGGCGTGGTGTCTCAAAAGAGTAATAAGACGGATGTACGAAGGAGGGGCGATCCCATTGTGGGATAAAAATAGTGGTATGCTCGAGCGGCCTTGGTTGGGTTATATTTGAACACGTAGAATGGGGGTCATGTCTATCTTATCACTGGTCGGGTTGATACCTCTTTTGCAGAAGCTTGTACACTCCGGATTTCCTTCGTTTCGTGTACGCTGGATATAAGTTCCAGCTATACCATCCATAATTAGTCCAAGCTGTCTAATGTAGGTATTAATTACCCTGATTGTCATTAGTGGGAAACAGCTTTTTAATCAACGTCAACAAGGTTGAAAACAGAAGCTCTTGCAGTGGTTGTGGACGCTCAGGCCTAAGACAAAGTGTCACTGTTGAGATTGCGGCTGCGCTTTGTGGCTGTACAGAGCGTAGAAGGCCTTCATAAGGTCATTTCTTTAAATGTTTTCATTTCTTAGTGGTCAGTGCAACATGTAATTTATTAAAAATACACGACGTCCGCACTGTTGGAATTCTGCAGGAGAGTTGGGTCGGAAGCCAAAAGGTTCCCCCTGTTTGCTGGTCCAGCGAGGGATAGGTGAGGAAGTGAAAAGAACCCACAGACTCCACCAAGGCCATGGCCTGGTGAATCTGGGGCTCTGCTGGTGGGCGAGCACGTACCAAGGCCAACAGTCCAAACACAGTCCAAAGAGTGGTTGAAGACAACGTGGGTATGAGCGGACAAAAACATGAACATGTTTGCAGTGTGTCCCCAGCCAGAGTCTGACTTGCAATTCACAATTGAAAATTGTGGGAGGAGCTAAAGATCAGGAGATTGATTGACAAGGGCGATTGACGCCCCTCCGTGAACCTGAAAGAGGTGAGGAGCCGTCACTCGGGTAAGAGAATGAGATGGAGCAAGAGAAGTACCCGAGGGGTGGAGACATGCAAGAAAGGCTGCGTCGCCAGGCAATTTGTGTGAGGAGCGCATGTGTGCTGTAGATAAGCCGAATAAAGGGCTTGTTTCCTAATTGGATTATTTGAGAAGAGGGTAGTGCAATACATTTTTTGGACGAGTGCCAGGCTTTTTGTTTGAGGAATCGGTAAATTAAAGAGCGCCGATGGAGGAAAATTTGGTCCACCCCCAGTTGATGGAGCCTGCGTTGTAGGTATCGTCTTATCTCTGGAGTGACCGCGCTGGTGTCATTTTCCAATCAAGAAAACAAACGGGTTTGGGCTAGGTTGAGGGGGATACGGGAAGGCGTAACTGGTTTAAGGTCGCAAATGAATCTGGCCGCAGTGCGGGTATGAAAATTTCGGCGTGTGACCAGTGCCCCACATGATCTTAATTACTTAAAACAGGGATGACATCATGAAGAATAGGGACCCTTATTTTATAGTTTGCCTGATTTAATTTTTATGTCAATAGAGAGTGGATTAATAAACAAAAGTATTAC